CAGAATTGTTTTTGCTGAGGAAGGGTTAATTCCGCGAGGGGTGGCTCAGTGGTTAGCACCGTTGCCTCACAGTGCCAGGGACCCGGGTTCCATTCCAGCTTTGGGTGACTGTGCAAACTCCACACAGACATTCTCCCCGTGCCTGTGTGGGTTTGCTCCGGGTGCTCTGGTTTCCTCCCACAGTCCAAAGATGTGCGGGTTAGGTGGACTGGCCATGCGAAATTACCCATAGTGTCCAGGGATGGGCAGGCTGGGTCTTCACAGCATCATTGTGGACTCAATGGGCTGAATGGCCTGCTTCTAATCTGTAGGGATTCTATGAAGTGAATCTCACAATTAAAGAACTACTGTAATAATGAAATTAACTGAATTCCATATTAACTTTGAAAGCCAAATATTGTAATCCCAAACAAAAAAAACTTCCCTTTAATAAAGTCAACTACGTAAGTGGTGTTACCTAAGATTAATTTGGTAAGTAGACTAAAAAAAAATACAATGATGAATAAACAATACAAAAAAAAATTCAACAAAAATGTTACATTTGTAAAGAAAAACAAAAATGCAGCAAGAATAATCGATTCATAGATCATCAAGGAGGTTAAGGATAGAAACAGATTAAAAGAAGCAAGAGAGTACAAGTCTGAGGATTGAAAGTGCTTTAAAAACCGGCAAAGAGCCACCTAAAACCTGATTAAAAAGTGAAAAAATAAGAATTACAGTAAACTAGCCATGAAGAATAAAAGCGGATTGTAGGAGCTTTTACAAGTATGTAAAAAGAAGGAACGCAGCTAAAGTGAATGTTAGTGCTGAAATGATTAGAAGGAATGAAGGGGACTCAAAATATTTGTTTAATGTCTTCAAGGAAGAAACCATAAATTACGAGCATTAGGAGGTAACCTAGTGTTAAAGTAAATGTAAGCTAATAAGGTATTTAATTTCAGTGGAAAAATAGTATCAGAGAAACTCCAGGACTAAAATCTGACAAACATTTAACAATGCTCTTAGTATGATCAGACAAAGTCAATACAATTTTACAGAAAGAAAATTGAGTTTAACAAATTTATTAAAAGTTTGTTTTGGATGAACCCAGTAGATTAGATAAAGGGGAACAGCAGATATCGTACACTTGGGTTTACAAATGGCATTTGATTAGGTGTCAGCCTAAAGGTTAGTAGATAAGACAAGAACATGGAGTTGGGAGTAATATATTGGGATGTAGGGAGGGTTGGTAATGGCTAGGAGACAATAACAAGGAATAAAAGCAGCATTTTCAAGTGGACAGAATGTGACGAGTGGGGTGCCACAGGGAGGAGTGCTAGGGCCTCAGCTTTTTGCTATTTAAGTTAATGACTTCAGTGAAGAGACAGCAGGTCATGTATTGTAAATAAAAATGAAAAGAACTGTGGATGTGTAAATCAGGAACAAAAACAAAGTTGCTGGAAAAGCTCAGCAAGTCTGGCAGCATCTGTGGAGGAGAAAACAGAGTTAACGTTTCGGGTCCGGTGACCCTTCTTCAGAACTGATGGTGGCTGGGAAAACGTCAGTT